CTTTGTTGAGTTGTTGCTCATATTCAAAGGATTTACAGTTCAATATTAGTCTTGGTAGAGGGGATGGTTTTTTATTATGCTCCATTTTTGTAAAATTCGGATTTTCTTATGTTCTTTATATACAAGAAAAACCTTACCTGTAAGAGGCATTCTTTATATAGTAAAAAATTTGCAAGTGGCTCCATGGAGTAGGCATATCGACGAACCCCGTTGAAATTTTTTGTGTTCTTTCTTTCTCTATCGTTTTTATGTTACTCTATGCACATTTTACTCTATGATTTCACAGCATTTTTTCTCAGAAACTAACCATCTTAAAAAACATTGCATCAGAAATATAGTTTAATAAACACTCACTTGGCTCGCTCAAGTGCCAATTCTGCCTCAAATCTTTCTCTCCAAGTCAGAAATGTTTCAACAGTAACAGGTTCTCCATGCGGTACAACTATCTGGAAGCAGAAAGTTTGACATAAGGAAAACACATAATAAAAAGGAAAAGAAAAGGGAGTGTTTGCGCACATGTTCATTTAAATTCAAAAGAAGACCAAGTTATCTAACCCTACCCTCTTGTCCCCAAGTGCCAAGTGCTCTTTTTATGACTGGGACTCACATCTCAAATCCTTATTTAGAAGAGACTCGTCTGACAGTTTGGTTTCTCCCAGAGTTGTCAGAATTTTCTTCACTGTCCTATTACCTCATGATCTAAAAGCTCTTAAAGTTAAGTTCATGTAAAACATAATTAAAATGGTAACTAGTAACCTTTGGGGCAATTTTTTTCCTCTCCATGTACAAATAGTTTGAAGAGATTAAAATTATTTTTCTATATAAAAGAGAGAGAGAGAGAGAGAGAGAGAGAGAGAGATTAGAATTCTTTGCTATCTGCTCCAGTGGGCTTAACACCAGCTCCAGTCTCTACTTTTAATTTCCCATTGTTGGCCCATCTACCCTAATGGGCTTAGATATTTTACAGTGATAGAGCAACCTTAACAACAATGCAACATTCTGCATCCACAAAATTACAGATTTAACAAAATGCAAAATAAACATGCTTGACGTGTGAACATTCCCAATTTGCTCTAATCTATATAGATGAATAAGCCATGTAACATGACAGAATTTCAGCAGATGATATAGCAAGGTTCCAAAAAGCTATTGCAAATATGGTCATCGAAACTTATAGACTCAGACCTGATCTAGTAAACCTGTAAACTTCTTCTTTTGAGATAACTAGTAAACCTATCAGTCTATATACGAAAGTCAAACAAAGAAAATAGAAATCATACTTCGTCTTTTTCTGCCTCTTCTTCTTCAGAGTTCCCAACACCAGCTTCCTGCCCATATCTATCAGACAACCATTCCTTTGCTGATGTAACCAAGGTGTAGATCATAGCCATACCAAGATTTTCAGATGCCTGGCAAGGATAATTCTTGGGTTAGAATCCACATAAATAAGTCCAGAAATGATGGCATGAACTTTCTCTTCCCAATTAGCAAATGATCAGAAAAGCTAGCTCACATCAAATATGCACAGTTGCATCTAGATAGTTCGCTCTTAGTTAGCATTCTCTGGACTATTTGTATATATTAAATGAGTGAATTGGAGGCACAGTCACAATAGACATCTAAGATGCCAATAAGGTTACCTCTTGGTCAAGCTTCTCTTTTAAAAGTCGAAGATCACTAGTCTGTATTCCTCTTAAACTGGAAGAAAAAAGACCAATATCAGGGGGTTCTGAAACATAGATCTTTTGCATTAATGAAAGGAGAAAATCAGCAATGCAGAATGGATTAGCTCAAGATTGGTAAATAGATTAAAAGTCATAATTCAACTAAATGCAAAACTACTAAAATATTTAAGAGTCTATTATTATAATTTTAGTTACTTTAGGTTTTTATTCTTATTAGTATTATTAATTTACTATTTTATTAGGAGTAGTATTTCCAATCTTATTAATTTTATTATAGTTTAGTCACACTTAATAAAGACTAATTAGGAAGCACTTTTGAGTATCTTTATATTTTCACTTCTTGAGACCAAATTCAGTTATTCAATAGAATATTTTGAGAGTTTCTCAACCTTTTAGTTGTGTGATACAGTCAAACTCTTTTCTTAAAAAATAAAATGATACAATCAAACTCTTAAGTGTATGCTTAAGACTTCTTGCCTCTAAGAAACTTTAGACATGACATTAAAGTTTCATCACCCAAATCTCTAAGAATTGACACCCAAAATCTCATCACACTATAGCTAAACAGCCCCCAACGCATCTGAAAAGAAAAAAAAAACAACCAAAGTGGAAACCTAAACACTCCAAATGGTTGTCATCTATTCACTAGCCACCATTGGGAGGTGATCAACACAGCCACAATACCACTAGTCTCAAAAGACTCTAATTGGCAACCCCAAAAGGCCACCAGAAAACACGCCACTTCTCACCGCAAGTTCTCCCAGTTTCCACCTCTCAAGATCCCATTCTTCCGTAAATCCACGTCTCAAACTGACCTCCTTTATAAACGCCACCTCCAGTTAAGTTGAGTGACCAAAGCTCGTTGTCATCCAATGACTGGAAGCTGGCACATGAACGACATGTGCACCTAGCTGCGAGTAGAGCTCACCCAATCTACTCCATTTGACTTCCTTGAGATTGAAGTTTGGTAAGCCTGATTCCTGTTTTTTTTTAAATAAAAAAGACAAATATATTAAGAAAAAAGTACCAAGGGAGTGCCGCCCATGTGCAAAGTATATTTACAAGTCAATGAGCATATCTAGAGTTGCTCCCAAGTTGTCAAGAGTATGTAAGTTATGTTCCAAAAAGATAGAGCAAAAATAATGCAACCATCTATCTTTAATATTTACAAATGAGTCTTCCGTACCCTCAAACGCACTATTGTTCCTTTCCCTCCAAAAAATCCAGAAGATAGATAATGGAATAAGGCGTGCCACCGGAGAATTTGGAGAGAGGCCTTCCCATGCGAAGAGTTCTTTACTAACAAAGCCCGCCATCACCCAATTTAAACCCATTAAGCTGTAGACAAGAGACCATAGTTTGACAGAGAAAGGGCACCAGAGGAAAATGTGGTTACAGCTTTCGGTGTCGCCCTTGCATAGGAAACATTTGTTAACTAGGATCCTATCCCTTTTCATCAAATTATCAGTAGTTAAGATATACGTTCATTTGCCGTTTCTCAAGCAAAGAAAGCGATTCTAGGAGGGGCATTAGCTTTCCAAATTGATTTCAAGGGGAACACACCATTATCCAGATCACTAACAGAAGTGATGTGCTTGTATAAAGAGCTAACCATAAATCTGCCATTTGTTTTCAGATTCCAAATAAGAATGTCTTTCTTGTCAACTAATTTCACATCGGCCATCAAATATAGGAAGCAAACATATTCAGCAGCTCCCAGTCATTAAGGTTTCTACTGACAGCCACCGTGCATTGACCGTGGAACAGAAAGCATCACATACCAACAAATCTTTGCCTCGTGCAAACACAAAGATATTAGGGAATCCGGTTTTCAGAGAAGAATCACCACACCAAGTGTCATGCAAGAACTTTATTTTGTCCCCTCTGCCAACCTCTCATCGAGTATTACCATTCAACACATCAAACATCCTCATGATACTTTTCCAAGCATTGGTACCGTAAGGTCTACTGGAAATATGTATACTGCTGTCATTGCCTCTTTGCATCCATTTAATCTGAATGATTTTCTTCCACAGGCTGTCTTCCACACTCAAAAATCTTCGTAACCATTTACCATGAAGAGCTTTTTTCATAGTGGTGATGGATCTAATCCCAAACCCACCCATTCTCATCAGTTGCTTAACCTCTTCCTAGTTCACAAGGTGGTACATTCTTTTATTATCCGGGTCCCCCCAAAGAAATCTATTCTGGATCAATTCAATCTGCTTTGCTACCTGAACCGGAATGGTGAGTACGGAAAGATAATAAATAGGGAGATTAGAGAGAGTACTCTTAACTAGTATCAATCTCCCCCCTTTCGAGAGAAAACCCATCTTCCATCTCGCAAGCCTTTTGTCAAAAAGGTTGATAGCTGGTTCTCAACCTCTTTTATCTTTAGCTTTGGGACCCAGTAGGTAACCCAGATACGTGATTGGAAGACATTTTGCCTGGCAGCCCAGAACCTGAGCAAGAGTGTCCACATCACACCACACATCAAAGCCAACCATTTCGGATTTACCAAGATTGATCTTGAGCCCAGACACTGCCTGAAAATAGAGGAGAATGCAGCTCAAGTTTACAAGATATTCAGTTTTAGGCTTACAGAAGATAAGCAAATCATCCACGAAGAAAAATGTGTGACTTCAACTTGCTCATTCCCACTCCCCAAAGAGATACCTTCCATTAAGTCAGATCAGTAGCTCTCAGCAATAATTTGCTAATTGCTTCCATCACAATTATAAAGAGAAAAGAGGATAGTGGGTCCCCATGCCGAAGCCACTAGAGGCATGGAAAAATGAGGAGGGGCCGCCATTCATCACGCAAAACTAGTAATAGAAATGCAAGCGTTGATCCATTTCCTTCATTTGCATCCGAAACCGAAACGTTGCAGCATGTAATCAATGAAATTCCAACTAACATGGTCAAAAGCTTTCTCCATATCAAGTTTACACATGACCCCCTTCTTAAAAGTAACCAATTCATTAGCAATCATAAATGCATCAGAAATCTGCTTACCTTTGACAAAAGCATGTTTGTTCTCCCTGATAATCAGATGGAGAACATTTGACAATCTTCTAGAAAACACTTTTAAGATTAATTTATAC